CTAATACGATGTTGTTTTAGATAATATAACGGTTATTGAATTTGTACAAGAAAATTGTTCTGTTACATTATATTATCTACTTAAGTATTATTAGTATACAAACGTTTTTAATTTTAATAATTAATTATTACATAAATGCAATTTTACAATGGGAAATGTCATGGTACAGTTTTTTTTTCAAAAAATATAAATTTTACACTTTTCAAATAGTTAAGATAAACATTTAAATTTTAACGATTTACTTAAGTTTTATTTTATTGTGAAATAGCAGAGACCTTTTTTTTTTGACCATATAATGTTTGAATTTCCTTATGCAGGAATTTATTTTTTAATTAAAATCTAAGCACATTTAGATGCAAGGTTATAATTACTATTCTATTTTTTTTTAAGTTCACGAATCCCAAACTAAAAACCCAAAAGGTAATGCAAGTAAAGTTCAAGATAATTTGTTTTAGTTAAGAAATTCTAACACTGAACTACAGAAAATGGATTTATGGTCCATAGAGACTAAGCATTTTATGTCAACTTATATTAAAAATGTATATCTTGTCAGTGAAATGTATAATTACATATAATATATTGATTTCCACTTGGAACAATTCAACCGAATGTAACTTGATTATTTATAAATTTAAAATATTTAATTTTATAGAATATCATCATAAAAATATGAAATTATGTATACCTACCTAATTTATCTTCTATCTCAATCAACTGCTTCTATGAACTTAAATCTGGAGCGGAAAATTATTAATAGAAATAGCAACTATAGTGACATAAATTATGAATTTTAGTTGGGCCACAAGAGATTTTTCAACTTTAACATCAAACAATTTTTAAAATAATCAATGTATAAAATTGAATAGGACTTAATATGTCTTCATAATTTATATAAACTTTGAGTATTCTTATTTTCTAAACCAAAGGGCTCCAATCTTTTTTACGGTGGGTCAAATCTGAGATACGTTTTCACATTGCTGGCCAAAATTATTTAGAGGAATAGAGAAATAATGAAATTAAAGAATATATTCTTCATTTCATTATATAATTTCAATTTTATCTATTCCTATATAGGAATAGATAAGATTTATTTAGATTTTAGAAAAATTTAATATATATATATGATATTTATTTTTTATTTATATAATTCAGAATTTGTTTTATTGAGATACGACTAAGTTACTTAATAAAAAGTTTCAGATTCCTTGTATTTTAAAATTTTTTAATAGATTGCATCAAACTTTGTTGTTTCAATCAACAGCGTCGTTAGTAATGTTTGTAGCTATAGTTCTATACTTAGATTTGACCTATTTCATTTTCAAAAACATATTCAAATTTGGAATAATATTGACAAAATATCCGTTAACTTGGTGGGCCGGTTTTAAAAGCTTGATGGGCCGAAACCGGCCAACGGGACGTAGATATGAGACCCCTGTTCTAAATTTTTAAATCAAACCATGATTAACCTTATATTTTTTTTTATAACTACCTCAGTTAACTTATTTAAAGAGTAAGTCATGAAATACAAATTCATTTTATACTCATTAATCATCAACTCGGTAAAAAATTATAAAAATGAAATATATTATTTTATCAAAATGTTTTATATAATTATTAAATACTACCTATGTTATTGTTATTATTATTATTATTATTGTTATTGTATTTTTTCATTAATAATTATTAGCACTAGGCATAGAAATAAAAAATACTTCTATTTGACGTACAAATTGTCATAATTTAGTACTAATTTATTGTTGTATATACTTAAAAGTATTTTTTAAATTGAATAATATACTCAATGAAGTAATACAAAAAAAAACAACACTCGATTTGAGGGTGAAAAGTACAAATTGACATTATGAAGATAAATTAATATAAATTACATTCGAAGGTACTCTAATCGTGATTTAAGTTATTGATTTTTGAACTTATCTTAATTCAAATATATTTAAATTGAAAAACTAAAGTATGTTCAGAACTTTGTGGATTATAATATGATGTAGGAGGTTATATATCGATTTCAAAACAAAATAAAAACTATATTTTAATTTAAAATGTCTGTCAGTACATGTCAAATTTTTTTTAGTTTGTTTATAGTTAGGTAATTGTTAAACTTGTTTAATATTTACAACTTATACTGAAAATATGAGTACATCACGTATACCTCGCCCTCGCGTAAATCAATAGAAAGTATAAAATATGAATTTTATATTAAATAATTTACTATTAAAACTGTTAACCTTTTTTATTTTTTTTTTTTTTTTTACATAACGATTTGGCAATTATTCATATTTTACAACTATTTTTAAATATAATAAATGTAAAAATCACTACATAAAAACTAAAAGATAGGTACTTAATAAATTTTCGTAGAAATGTAATATAAACGCGATCAAATATATTTATGAAAAAATACTTGATGAAAACTAATCTGAAGATACTAAAAAAGTGTTTATTCTATAGACCATATTCGAATCCAAATAGAAAATCCAAAGACTTAAAGAAATTGAAAATATTAAAAATCTTCTGGCTTCAGTTTTGGTTCTACCAATTAAGTATGTAGTATGGGTTGTAACAAAGTTTCCAATTTCAGAATTGTGAACGAGTACTTACCGGTTATATTATTTTAATTCCGGTCCTGTATAAACACTCATGTTAAAATACTACACAAAACGAGATAAAAATTCAAAGAACCAAAGGTTTATTTGATTTAAAAGCATCTCTAGTATATCATTACAGACTTATTTGTAGGTATATAATAGAAAAATAAATTAAAAGTTTTTTATTTACTTACGTCTTAATATTATTTATAAAGAATTTAATAACCGCATACAGTTAAAAAATAATATTAATACTACAATACAATAATAATATACCGAAAAATAAATGAGATAAGAATGTTTTGACACAATAGGAAATTTCATTCTTCTAAAAATATTCAATGATTTACAATTATGAAGAAGTTATTCGTTATTTTTGTGTATTATTTTAAAATCTATACCGAGTCCAAAACTTTTGAAAGTATATTTCTTTAGCATATAATTTTATTATTCCTACAGATTATTTTACCAGAAATCTAGTAATACGTAATTGTTATAGTAAACTCATAAACTCATACGTGCATATCAAGTGTATAAAAACTGTTAGTTTACAGTGTATTTTAGGTAAAACCAATAATAATAATAATAATTAAATGCTGAATTTACGTGACATAACATAAACCGTTCGAACGACGTAGGGCTTTCATGTCATATTGCGTATCATATAATTTACAAAAGTACGGATAGAGTTCTCATAACACATTAGATGTATCTCAAACTTCCAAGCTTAATCACCTCCTGCTTCCCGTTGCCTATCGAAGTAACATAGCTAAAAGTCATTGAAGTTTTTACTCAAACAGTTTAAAAATTATTAACTACAAGTGTAAAATAAAAGTATTTTTGTTGGTATAAATAATACACAATGTTTTATTTCGATACATGCTCGACACATGCTACGGTACCGGTTAGTCACGCCGTCATTTAAGGTGTATGGTATATTTGTGAATACTCGATAAGTAAACGTTCCACAAATACGAGCCGGGTCATTGTAAAGAGCAATATTAAAACTACAAGTGAAATATGAATTGGTTTAATATATTCAATTCTAATTCTAAGATGAATAATGGCACAGGTTTTATATATACTAAACCGTATTGATCTTGCATCAAACCGAGTATGTAATTATTTTTTCACCGTTGAAGACAAGAAACACACACATTTACTGTCGTGGATTTTGAATTAACCACGGTCAGTAAAGACTCTTTAGTCCCAATAACAGCGCTAAATATCAAACAGTCTACACCAATTTAAAATCATTCAATAATTGGAAAGACGACCACTACCTATTGCTAAAACTAAAAGAGGGCCATTTGAGCCGACTGCTTGACGACAACAAGGAAATAATGAAGAAAATCAAATGGATTCTCAAAAATAGAGAAAGGATTTACGAGTACGAAAATTAGACGAAAGTGTAAACAAGACTTAATAATCTGGACGCAGAAACGACAGAAAAATAGGTATTTGTTAAAGAAAAATGTCAACAAGTAGTAATACTATTTTTGAATGGAAATATGGATAAAGATGTTTTAAGGAGATTTAATATAAAACATGGCCAACATAGCAATTTATTTTTATCAGTTAGTACATTTTAGTAGCAACAAAATTAAAAATTATACACGAGATCGACGCAAATAAACATAAAAAAAAAAAAAACGGCAGAACTTTAAGGAATCACACGACCCTTGTACGGATGAACTTTTTAACAAATGCATATCCGTCAAGCCAGTACGACAGTATCACCACCAGAATTTGGTCAAACATTTTAACACAATATTTTTATACTTTGCGCACACTTTCACGTCCTACACGTTTATTCAAAACATTAATTCCATTCGATTGTTTTAAAATTTCCATTTTACGTACTGTAATAATTTGAGTAAGTATTGCAAATCGTCGATCGAAGGCTTGCCATTCGTCTCGGTTTTATAGGCATGTCCCGGTGTCCCTACCGATCATTCAACTTGTCCTGGTTAATAAAAGCTGAGAAAAAATAACATTTAATATTGTATTATTTAATAATAATGCGTAGAACAATATTGTACATTATATCATTATATTATGATTATCTAATCAGCATGGTTGTATACAATAATAATATATTTTTGTATTAGATAATGAATATTTAAATTATAAAATTATACATTAATTCCATATGAAAGTTACAAAAAAAAAAAAAGGGTCATTCAATATGATGTTCCGGTTTAGGGATATAAAAATCTGGCTACCCTACAAATCGATGACATTAAACTAACAACTATTTTATGGCAATTGTTTTATGAAAATCGAGTACCAATTGGAATATCAACAACGCATTGAGAATTATTATTTAATCAGTCTCATACATCAGTCTTCTACTGACTTATAGTCAAAGCAAATTTAATAACTGCCTGGGTAACATTAGTAACTACTTCGGCACATCCAATTCTAACTGTGATATCGTTTTTTTTATACCTACTCATATTAGTTTTGCAATGCATAATTGTGTACTAAAAATTCGCCTGTTTTCGACATAAACTATCCTATAAGTTAATTGTAAATCAAGTGAAAACAGAATTCTGGTTTCATTTTTAAAACATCTAAATTAATCAATCGGATCATACGTAAATTATTCCTAATTTAACATTGACCACAATGATAATAATAAAGTACTCATCAAGACAACCCTCATTGTCTTGAAACGATGATAACAGTGATAATAACTCGTGCTTGTTGATTGATGTAACGCACCCATTGGATTGTTCTCGTTGATCGTTCAAAGTTCGACTTCGTTAAAATGGATTCTTACCTCGTCATTTCTACTACGAGGACAACCAATAAGGCATCGCGATCTCGTCAACACATTGGGCCTACAATTTCTGACGGTGAGCTAACTCTTTTGACATGAACGTGATGATAAACAAAACTTGGTCATTTTAACGTATTGCGAACATAAGCGCCTGTTCGACCGGTCTAACATACTTAAAGACTTTCTATTTACAGCAGTAACGTAGAACGTTCCATGGACAATAATGAGGAGAGCCGCCGAATGCGATCAAACTGATTGAGCATTCCTTCTACGGTTTCAATACTTATGTTACGGTTACGCCACCCTATACCTGCTGCACAATTAAACAACTCAATCCAAACCAAAAATATTGGTCTTTTGATGTAAACTGTGTAACACGTAAATCTAATCGTGGTCCATATTTTAATTCAATACCAAGCTTTACTTGCTTACAAGTTTAGTATTTAATATTTTTGTATTTTATAGAAATGAATATCATCTATAAGACGATCAATAAATGATTTAAGATGTTCAAAATGTTAGTGGACAAAAGCTTGATGAAAAACATATTGCTGTCCAATACCAAAGAAATGGTTTTATGGTAAAAAAAACTCAAATTATTATTTTGTCTTATTCATAATTATGTTGTGTTAGCTAAACACAATATATCATCAGGGCCGGTATTAGAAATTTAGCCGCCCTGTACCAATTTATAAAAATGCCACCCTAATACAAATTATTTTTGTTCATGCACAAATAATTTACGGACTAAATAAAAATTATATAAATATTTAGATCTCATATAACTTAATAAGTTGTAATTATCTTAATCATTATGAGATGACTTAGAAATAATTTAAATAATTAATGGGAAACAGTTAAATAAAATTACAATACACATGAGTATGATCCATGGATTTTTATGCTTATGTATGTTTAGTACAAAAATAATATATATTGTGAGAATGAGTATATTACCTCAGTTTTTTTTTAGTAATAATATTAAAAAATAGAAATGAAAGTTACAGTATTTTTATTTTATATACATATTATATTCATATAATTTTTATTAGTATTATAAAAATAGTGATTCTAACTATTATTGAAACACTTTTCTTGCCTTGACATTTGCAAAATCTTTGATATTTTCTGTTTGTTTATAATGCAGTGAAAAAATTTTAAATTTAAAATCTTAAAAATTATTAAGAATAACCTCAGTCATATTTCTACCCCAACTATATTGCCACCTTGTGTGAATGCACAGCCTGCAGATGCCTTCCAAAGCCCTGTATGTCATATAATTGAATACATAGTTTGTTTGTAATATAAATCCAAATTTATTTAGTTATTGTACTATATTATTATTATTTTTAAACAAGATATTTTAAATTTGTTTACTAATCAGTCACAAACAGATATGATTTATACAGGTATGGAAAAAGCTTTTGATAGGATCAACCATAAATTATTAATAAATGAACTTAAAACTTATGGTTTTTCTAAACCGCTCTCTTCTTGGTTTTACTCTTTCCTATCAGGTCGTACACAAATAGTTTTTTTTTTTTTTTTATTGAGTAAAAAGACAATCTACAATCTATACAACAAATATGCACATTAATTAGATGAGATAAAAGAATACAAAACAAACAACAATGAATATTATGATTTTGGGAAATTATCCAGTGGTAACACCCAGCACGTGTTAATTTATTTACTGTCGATTAATATGAGTTTTTTTTTTTTTTACACAAATAGTTAAATATGAACAATATCTTTCCAAACAAATAAATGTGACTTCTGGTGTCCCTAAAGGAGATCATTTGTCTCCTATATTGTTTTTTCTATTTATAAATGATATCTTTAATGTCATTTCCTACCCAAAAATTTTATTATTAGCCGATGATGCAAAAATTTACAAAAACGTGTATTGTATAGATGATGCACTAAACTACAATTTGATTTAAATAGTATTTATAAATGGTGTATTGAAAATGCTCTGCACTTAAATCTAAATAAATGTTCCACCAACACCTTCTCATTAAAAAGAATACCAATACAATTTAATTAATCTTTAGACAATGTAAACTTATCAAGAGTAACTACAATATTTGATCTAGGAGTAAAATTTGATACAAAACTTTCGTTTAACGATCATATAAATTATATTAGAAATAAAGCTTCTGCAAAATTAGGTTTTTTTTAAAACGTTCGTGTAGACAATTTAGAGATAAATCTGCTTTAATTACTTTATATAATTTCTTAGTTTGATCTCATTTTGATTATGCACTAATTATTTAGCATCCATATTCTATAACACAAAATCAACATCTAAATAAAATTTAAAATAACTTCATAAGATTTTATGTTTTCAATGTCATATTTATAGAGCTTATTTTCCCTACGATATCACAATAAATTTCTTTAATATGCTAACAATAGAAAAACGATTTATGCAGCTAAAATTAAAATTGTTATATAAAATACTTAATAATTTGGTTGATTGTCCCGAACTGTTGCAAAATATAAACTTTAAAATAAATGCAATAAACTGTTGAATTACGAACCTTTTTTATATTATTTGGAAATTGTATGTAATTGTTTTTATTTTGGATTAATGAGTTCTACAGAGTGATGAATTTAATTACCTATAAAATATTTCTTTGTCTTCTAGATCTTTACATTTTTAAAACTAGAATTTTTTTTTTTTTTTTTTATGTATATATTTTTGAATTTTCAGTGTAGTATTTATATTTTAACTACAAAATCACATCATGTTATTTTCCATATTGGTTATTATTTATTTTTTTTTTTTATAGAAATGAATATTATCAATAAGGCATTGACGATCAATATAACATAATTCAAGATATTCAATAACAACTTGAAACTTCAAGAAGATGGACATTTTTCTATTTTTATTACTCTTGCTAAATTAATTATATGTACATCAAATTTGTAAAAGAAAAACATATTTCTGTACAAAACTAAAGTATTAAGATAATTATATGATATAATGCATTATTTTCTCCTTAAATATACATTATTCAAAGTTATTAGATATTTTCTAAACACATTATATCATAAAATTCAATAAACAGTATGTTCCGAATATAAATATAAATTTATTTAGTAATTTTCATACAAAGATATTATTCTGATTATTAGTTAAAACTAATTAATAATTAATACTGTATTCAAGCACTACTTAAAGATGAACAAATATTAATATAATTTTTAATTTTATTATTCATTAACTTAATGATTGTTTGCAAATTTAATATAATATTTTATTTTTTATTTTGTTACTATAATGATAAATTATATTGAAAATATAATAAATTATGATCAGCTATTTATCAACGCTAATAAAATCTTTAAATCTTGATGTTTAAGCTTAAATGTCATACTAATAAGCTGAGCTCATAAGTTAATACATTTGCATGTTTTTTTTTTTTTTTTTGCTACATCAGAAAACATGCTAAGTAAGATAAAAATCTGTTTCATAACAGTAGCAATAAGAATCTTAATTTTATAGAGCACTTTTTTACATGTTATTGGCATATAGTTGATTTTTTTTTAATTAATGGCGCATTTATTTTATGTAAATTCAACAAAATTGTTTTTTCGCGGAATTAAAAAAAATTTAAATCAAAAAGTACTTGAATTCATTCTTATTTATTTTTTTGAACATATTTACAACATCTTAGTATTTAATATTTTATCAGATTTTTAATTTTTGTATAAAATTACCTCCCTACAACCACCCTCTTCCTATTGACGTATACATTGCAATCTATCAGTTAATTTTCATCGCAACGTGTGTTCATTAATAATAATTATAATAAAATGTAATCAAAGAAATAAAATATAACTTTTAAAAATGTGAATGAATAATTATTATAATTTAAAAAAATGATTATACTTATTTTTTTTCTTGCACAGTTTAAGATTTTTAATGCATATAAAATGCATTATTGCATGCTTATTTATGTGTTTGTTAGTAATTACGAACCCTGCAAATAATATACTTATTGAATGCACTAGTATTAATATTAAAAGTGTGAACTTCACTTAATATTTAGGATTTGAACATTGTACATCATTTAAAATTAAATATTCATATAATGTGCGATTACCCCTTAAATGTATGCCTTTATGTATTCAATAAACTATGGTCAATGTTTGTAAAACAATTGATTGTTATTTATATTAAATTTGTTTTATCAGACATTTGGTATGGAACCAATAAGTAGGAAAGAACTTTTGTTATCCATTGAAACAAAATTATAGTAATCATGGAAAGGACTATTCAATTTATATTAAAAATAACTAGTACTATAAGCAAAGAATTAATATATAAAGATTTAAATACAATTTTTACAATCTTCTTACTGAAATATTATTGTAATTTTATTAAATAATTATAAGCGTTTTGTTAATAAAGCTTCTTGAATCATTTAATAATGCTTTATATAAATTTAGAAATAAATATAAGAATTTTTTTAAATTTGGTAATTTTAAAAGCTAAGTTTTAAGAATGATCTAATCATTGCGTTTTCAATACACCCATTATGTATTTTGTAAATTATTATATAACTATATTAAGACAACATTCCTGGTGCATGTACTGGAGATAAAATTTAAAATTACCTACAATTTGTATGTATATAATCATATGGAACTTTAAATTTATCTTTATATAAAAGTTTATGAATCTTAAAATAATTGAACTACATATATTTACATAGTTAATTAGTTATATTAATATATAATTTTAGAATTCAACACGAGTAACTGTTTAGGTGTGTAAATATTTGATAATAATGTTAGTTGTAATTAATTTCATCTTATTTGCAAAATTCAATAAAATATCAGTTATAAATAAATTAAATATTTTTAATGATAATAATACTTGCTAAATTGAATGTTAATGATTGATTAATCAACATAATTTTTTGAAATTGTTCTTATTCTATAATAGTTTCTAATGAATTAATGAGTATGTAATTTTCAACATTTATTTATAATTTAGACATAAAAGTTATGCAACTGCTTTTACTATTGATGAATTATTTATATGGAGTAATACATTGAATTATAATATCTCTTCATGGCTTAAATACTGAAATTTATATGGAATAAATTTGTTGATTTTAAACAGTATACGTTAAAAATATTAATTATAAAATTTTAATTTTAAAACCATATTGTGTTGTATTCTATGTTAATTTATATTTTGTTATTTATAGAAATAAATGTAATAATAAGGTATTAATTATCAATATAACCTAATTTATGTTTTTAATAATAATTATATATTATTATTATTATTACAATTATAATATATATGTTGGAACTATCAAAATATGAGATTTTTTTCTATTTTCTTTATCCTTATTAAATATATATATATATATATATCAAACAAATAGAATTAGAAAGATAAATGCTCCAGAAAAAAATCAATTATTCTAAAATACTAAAGAAATGGGAGAATTAAATGATATAAAAATTTCAAAAATAAACCTTTTCCACTTGGTTATGTGTTACTCACAACTATCTAGTTTTAGGTAAATACATTATATCACTATGTTCAAAAATTTGTATGTATATAGTATAAATCTAAATTGGATAGTAAATATAATGTGATAAATATTCTGCTGATTAAAACGAATAAAATAAAGCATTTTTTTTTTCTGCAGTTCTTTTGTAGGTATATATTTATCAACATGATTATTTGATTCTGTTTTTGTTTTTTATTTTTATTTATTTATTATTTTTTTTTTTAAATTTATAAAATATCATAATTTTAATTTGTAAGCTATTTAATTAAAAATATTTATATTTACTATTATAATAATTATAGTTATAAATAAATTATAGGTTATAATAATAAGATAACTTCTCTTAAACTAATTCTTGTTCTATTTTTTAATTATTAGAAAAATTAAGTAATTTACATTTTAATTTCTACATAGTCCTTATTTATAAAATTTTAAAATAATTTGATATTGTAATTTGTATAATTCATAAACCAATATCTGTTGTAAATATATAATTAAAAATAATTGATTTCTATGATATATCATTATTCACATTTTTATGATAATAATGTATTTTTATAGTGTTATAAATATTTAGTTTATTAAATTATAAACAATATATATTGGTTAGTTAATTGATTAGTAATTGATGGACAAATAAACAATAACAATTATTGTAATATACATATTAACTATAGAATATTATATATTGTATAATCATAATTCTTATCTAACCTTATTTTAATTCATATTTAAGTTTTTTACAGAAAGAATTTCCTTAAATTCATTGTTTATTATCATAATATATATTTTAACTGATAATGTTAAAAATATGAATTCACAAAAAAACTATAAATAAATATATAAATGTAATTATTATAGTTTAAAAATTATGTTATAAAAATCATGCTCTCGAACATATTTAATTATATTTGATAATATAATCAACATAATAAAAAAATAGGTATTTATTTGTTTTATATTCAAATTTTATTTAACTTTATTTTATATATTGCAGCTATGATTGTCATTGAATTCTTTTAAATACAAAAATTTCTTTTAACTATACTAATCTTGTTCTATTTTTGATAAAATAGGTACATGAATCGATATGCTCATATATATTAGTTTATTATTTAATATATTACATACTAAACCTGCAAGTTTTGAGTGAACAAATGACGAAATGCATAATCAATTACCCTAATACTTAAGAATTTATAGATAATAATCTGACAAATGCCCTAAAAACAGCAAAATATGCCCTATACATGCATATGAAATAAAAATTGTCATAAAATGCAAAATAAAAACTATATTAAATTAATCAGTATTACTTAAAACACATTTCCTTCTTACCTATGTATTGGGATATCAGAAAAAAAGATGCATATGCATAAAAATCTCAACTCTAATTATTATATATATATGTTATATATTTTTTTTACAGTATTCAGAATAAACCATTATTATTAGGGTTCAGATTTATATGCACTTAAAAAACTTAAAATAGTATGCATTTATATTTATTTTATTCGTTTTTTTCCCATATATATTAATGCTTTTCAATTAGATAAACTTAATATATCCACTACATATATCAACTTATAATATGAATTAAAGAAAATATTTATACATATATTCAAAAAATATAACAAATACTTTAGTTAGGAATAATAATAAAAAAATTAAAATTTATTAAATCCTTTTATACTATTTCTTTAGTAAATTTTTACTTAACATAAAAACTATTTAAAAAATAAAAATAAAATTAGTTATTAGTAAAAACGTTTTGATTAATAATTACAATTTATGATGTTTACTTTTTACAAAAATAATTCATAATAATTTATTTTTCTATATGTTCAGGTGTCATATTTGTCTTATCACTTTTATGTTTATAAATACTAAATGATCATTCTACATCTACTGATGTCAGTGATACATATTTTATATTGACCATAGAGAAAACAGTGAAGTTTTCTGAAAGCTATATTTCATTGTTATTTCTGATATAATTAATCTGATTTGTTTTAATACTTGAATTATTTTATTTTTTTTTTATACAAATTAATAATAAATTTAAATTTTGTAGTAGAACGTTTTCACCTTGAACATTTGATAAATAATAATCTAGTTTCTACTGTAATTTAAAAAATAAAATGATTAGTTTAATGAACTTTTATACAAAATATGTTTAAATATTCAAAATTCTTCAAATATATTATCATCCCAAAAATATACATTTATATACAAAACAAACTTTTTCCTACATATTCTCTGTAACGCTAATCATCCACATTCTTTAACCTCATTAAACTGCATACGTTCATTACAAATATATGAATGCATACAAATCTTGACTCTAATAATATTATATAAAATAATAAGATTTAAATTTTGCTAACATGTTTTACTTTTATGAGCACATTGTATCAGTTAATCTCATATCGAATATATCATTTGCAAAACTCTTTGTGTACCAAATTTTTAAAACATAATTCACTGATTTTACAATTCAACATTTATTAACAGCAAATAATTTAAGTTATTGCTTTCTTGTGTTTTATAATAAATTAGATTAATATACAAAACATTAGTTAAGAATAAAGTTTATTTCATAAATTGCAGACAGACATTTTCTTAACAATTGTTTTTCATTGGGATCATATTAAATGCAGATCTTCCCAACCTTCGCCCATCTGAAAATAATTATATTATTTATTAACTAAAAATTATTTTAATTGAAGAAATCATTAAAATTTATCAAGATACTTACAACATTTTAAAATAACTGAATGACATGCTTGGGTAATTGCTTGTTTCGATTGTTTCTGGGAAAGGCCTAGTAAAATGGTTCTAAATGCATGGTTAAGTTATATTTAAGATAAAGAATTAAGTGATTAGATAGAAAAAGCTTTGTAAATAGTGTACTAAATAATAATGCTTAATCAATTATTGATAGACAAGTAACTCATATAGATCTAATGGGTGATTTTGAACTAATTTTTAATTTATTAAAGATTGTCAAACATAATCAGATAATATTTAAAAATTATAAGCTTAAATGACAAATTAATCATTGATTTTTTATTTAATATAATATAAATAGCAAAATAAGTTTAATCATAATTAGGGTTCGGATGTTTATGAAATTGCATATTTTTTTTTTATCGATACAATTTATTTCGGACCTGGATACAAATTTTATTCATGTTCTACTGAATCAAATAATACTATTTTTACTTTGAATATTTTTGGAATTTAAAGAATATACATATTTTTCGTACATTTTCAAACTGTTTTTTAAAAATAATTTAAATTAACATATAGATAAAGATAAATTATTCACCTGTATAATTGTGTACAATCTCAAATATTTTTACATTTAAATTTGAATAAATTAAAAAAAAAAAAAAATATTGTATCATAGTGAAATCCTTATATTGTAAATTATTATATATCTAATATTTAAAATATATAAAAATAACAACATAAAAATTAAATACATATTTATGAAATTATATTAAATTTTTAATACATAAATTAACATACATTTTATTCTGTATATTTGATTTTTTTTTTATAGCTATAATGCATATTTTATCACTTTTTTAGTGCATAGATATGCATAAATATTACAGTCATTTTAAGTGCATAAACATCCAAACCTTTAATGATGATTTTTGATATAATGTACACAGATAATTATGCTTATAAATTTAAGTATTATAGAATGGTAATATATACATGCACTAAGTTAATAATAAAAAACAAAATGTACTACATAAATAGTGAAATATTATATCAAATAATGGTAAAATATATGAAAATTCTAAACACATTTTTGAAAAAAATAATATAAAAGTTTTTTCAATAAAACGTTTAGCATTAATATGTCAACGAATATATAATAATTTTGTTAAAAACTTTTATTTTTATTTTAATTTTTTTTTTCTTAATGTGTAACAATTATTAAATTTAGTTTAAGATTCAATCAACATAAGATTTTGAAAATTTATAACTGAAATAACTATTGCCATCTAAGACAATAAGATTATTACAACTATTTTCTATCGTATTTAAATATCAATTTTGATTAAATTAATGACATTATTTCATTAAAGGATACGAATTCATAACATCATGAGGATTACGTATATCAAATTTATGAACAGCTCCACTTGAAAATATAACATTCTGAAACAAACAAAATTTATAACTGAATACAATTTTAACACATTATAATTTTATTTTACTTTTGATTTTCCTTTAATATAAAGCATATGAGCTAAAGTTATAGTATCTTGACGAATGTTATAATTCATTAGCATTGGTCCGTACAATACTTCAAAATGTATTCTTCTAGCAACTGCATTTCTGTAATCTTTTGGAGAAATTTTTATTGTTAAATTACAAGTTATTATGTCAACATATGGGGAAGTCACTAATTCCTGAAACAATAAAAACAGTTAAAAAAAAATTATTAAAATGTAAGGAAGGGATTTATATTCTGTAAATAAGTATTTTTAAGTATTTTTTTATTTTGTAAAAATACTTAAGATTCCTTCTATAAATACAAGTCAACTAAATATAAATTGATCTGGTTAATGGTTTATAAACCTTTATGATAAATATTCAGAAATACACATCTAAAAAATATTTTTATATACACAATTATATTTACCTGAATAATGTTGTCATTTAATGGTTCTACTGCAAAAATATGATACAATTTAAAGTTTGTAGAATTCACCTAAAATAAAATATTTATGTAGTTGCATAAAAATAATATATAATATATATTTGTGTTACTTACAATTTTTTGTATTTGTCCAAAATTTGATATTTGTACTGTTAATCGACTAAGTACGGTCAATTTTGAATTATTACACTGAAAAATAAATCAATATTATTTTAATTATCAACAATGTGAAATCCAAAATATAAATATAATAGAGGGTATAAAGATTTAATAAATTATTTTCAAAAATGTTTTTTTTATATAAATCTTATAATTCAAATAAAATTTATCTAAAGATCAATACAATTTTCAAATGAAGTATTAAAATTCTAAATACATCCAGAATATATAATAATATGAAAATATTAAAATAGGCACATTACATAACTAATTATATACATAGATTTAACCATCTATAATATACGATTCAAATTTAAAATGTTTTAAATAAATAAATTTAATAATTAATGTGTTATTTCTAGTTTTATATTATAGGAAAAAACTGAAAAAAAAATAATAATAAATAAATTATAAAATTGTTTTACATAGATTTGGGAAGCTTAATTTATATATTTAAACAGCTACTTATATACTGAATAATCAAGAAAATCAGATTTTTATGGGTATTTATTTATTAATCTTATCTGTAGAAAATTTAAAAAATAATCTACTTTAAAAACTTTATTCTTACACTGACATAAAATTTTTTATTATTTCTGTTAAATAAAATACATACATTTGTATTCATGGGAACAGGTATGCATTCTTTTTCTTCTTCCTTTTCACTGTTACATTCTCCAAGTTTTCTTTTCTTCCTATTTGAGGTTCCAATACCTAGAGTTGAACAGTTCACTACAGTGTTTACAGCGATAAAACTATACCCATCTGTAAATAAAAAAATACTCTTTAATTATATATATATTTAAATAAAAGATTTGTTTTGATAACCAAATTAACATGATATCAAAAAAATCATAAAATCATAAAATAACAGCCAACGTAAGACTGTAACAAAATAATCGTACTACAGAAACTTTTTATTGTTTAGGGCGTTTAACTGACATTTCAAACACTACATCGGAAACGTGTTTTTAAGGAGGATATTTTTCAAAGATTTATTTTTATTTTTTTTTTTTTTACTGCACAGCTCCCCATCTTAGAATTAAGCCCTCAAGTCAAATGTTGCAACTGAAATACTATTGGAAATATACACAAATCGATGACATTATCTATATTTTTAGACCTAACTCATTGTTCAAAAACTAATCAATGATATTATTTTATCGTGGAAATGTAATAATAAATAACATTGTAGCCAGTCACTGTACGTCAACGACTTGTTAATTAAATTCAACGCTAAAGAAGTAATCATCGTTTTTAAAGTGTTTAAATTTTGAGTTGAATATTATTCGATATTATTTTTAATTCGTAACCTATTATTCAAGACCAACAGTCAAATATTTAGTTGAGACGTGTTGCGCTAATATGTTACAACGTTAAAACGTAAATTGAATTTTTTTCGGAGCCTCCGTTGGTCGGGGACCTTGGGTTCGAACCCACAGCGTGCCCTTACGATAAACACGGCACATTGTGTATTCCCGTCGAATGAGCAAACAAGCAACCGTTCGGCGTACTCACGTTCGACGTACGCGTCGACGAGACTGTCGTTCAGACGTTCGACGCGCAGATCGCAATAGCCGCGGGGCACCACCAACACCGGATTCATTTCCAGTCGACGGCGTTCCAGCGCGACGTCGAACACGTTCTCCTTTGGCAGCAGCCAGCACCGGTGTTTTCGAACTTTCGAACCGACGTCGTTTGCCGGCACGAACTTCTCGCGCGCGACCCACCACGTTTCTTCTTATCACCCGTCGACAATCACTTTATCGTTATCTAACCGATCGACACCGTTTGTGATAACCAAGGATGGTGCGTATTTTCGAACGAACCAAGACCTACCCGGTTTTATCGAGTTCCTGCCCCGGATTACTCGGTCCGGATCAGTGCCGTAGCTATCACAGGGTAAAGCGGGGCAGTGCCCCGGTGCCCTAGAGCCCAGGGGTCACCTTGAACATTTTTGAAACTATACTTCCCAAAAATAATTAACAATGTTGATGGTGTTTAATAATAACTTTCCAAATCGTACGTGGTGGTTCCACTAACAATCAGTATTGAACTAGAATAATAATACACGCAATAATTGTTTGTTTTTTGTAATAGGTACCTAATAAACTGAATTTTCTTTTTACTCCCCACATCTGTTAATTATCTGACAATTCATTTTTTTCAACATTTCGTAATGAATAAGAATTGACATTTAAAAAAAAAAAAAACAATATAATGTTTATACCTTGCATTTTCATGTAAAGATAATATCAGTTAGGAAGCCTAATTTATATACGGCACCGAGACCATTTTCTGTGTAACTACGCCACTGGTCCGGATAAAATACGAGTAGCTACCATTATTTGAAAATGATCTTACGGTACTAGAAACACGATCAATCGATCGTTCACACTCCACTTACACGATTGAGGCGAACGTTCCGTAACGAGTTGTTCAAAAATAAATGTACCGGAGTGAACGAAATTCTTGTATTGAAAAAAAAAAAAGTAAATTATTTAATTAAGAATACATTAACAATATCTGATAGGTAGGTACAAAAACATCTTGAGTTCTCGAATAATAGGAAGGATTACGGAAACTGACCTGAACTAAAAGCTCAGAGCATATAATATTATAATTTAACAGGTCGTATATGAATAAAACATCAAATAACTGACATCTTAAATGAAGAGAGTCTAAGTTTACTAAATTTTGAACCTGTATAATAAAGTATTTAAATATGGGTAGATTGTTAGTATTGGCAATTATTTTTAAAAATTTAAATTGGATATTTTCAAGATTGTGAGTATGAGTAGATAACGATTGACGTCAAATTACTGAGGCCTATTCAAGAACAGATCGTACAAAGGAGCAATAAATTGGTTTTTATTGTAGTCATGTTTTTAAATTGTTGAGTGTTCCTATTTATGAAGTCTAACAATTTATATGATTTGCTGAGCATATACTCATGATTTAGTTTAAAGGATAAATCTGAGCTAAAGTAAATACGCCAAAGTTCTTATTGAATAAGCTCTATTTAAGGTTATATTATCCAATAAATAAACTTGTAAGTAATATGATTTTTAGAACGAGTGAAAGATACAGTTTTAAATTTTTCAATACTTAAAGGCAGAAAATTATTTTTAGTTAATTTTAGGTTGGACTATTCTTTAAAGCCTTGACACATAAATTATAAAAATATTTTAAATTTCTGTTCTTTAATGGAAGACACTTATTACAATCACAGAAAGGCCAGAACATTTGTCATAAAAAGGTTGAAGGCAGCTGTCACAATAAATTGACGAATCCAAATCGTCGAAGTAAGAATTGCACACAATACAAATTAAATTAGGAGCCATTAAGTGAAATATTGAACAAAACACAATAAAACGAATAAAACAGAATTTAGAATAAGAGAATGGATATTTATAACAGAAGTCTTAACTTGTTAAAAGTCAACAGTCAACTGTAATAAATAATATAACCTTATATTTTTAGAGTTTTTTTTTTTATATTCTTAATTTTTATGAATACTAGATTAGAAAATATACTTATACATTTATCACAACCGTATAGTAATTTTTAATGTGTTCAAGTTTTTAAATTGTACAGGTTTATTTATAATAAGTTAGTGGTAAGACATGTATATCTTACCTATGCATTTCAAGGAAGTCAAGTGATTTTTAACTATACACAGCAACTTCTAAGCCACTACAAATACATTTTCTCGAACCGGCTCAAAATCTTATTTCATCCCTGCATAGGTGCATAACTACAATGAAACTTACTATACATTTTTTCTCATGTAGGTACTTTTACATCAAGTTATAACAGTTACGTAAAAATTATACATATAATATATACCTTATATATATAAATCAAATAATAATATTATATTATTACAAAATAATTGTATTTACTTACAAACAAACATCAAACATTAAATAACAAAAAAGTTATTACATTTTATTAAAATTGTATTCATTAAATATAATAGGGTCGAATATCATTAGAATAAGTTCATCATTTTCAAATAATTTTTTATTTGTAATGTTTTTGAAGCTTTTAAGTGACCCATTTTTTTTTTTTTCACTACATTTATCTTAGATTCTGTATTCCATTAATTTTTTTATTATTACTAATATTTTGTTATATATTGACCTAATGTAGTTAAAAATACTTTTTTCTCTTAGTTAAAACTCCATATGTCAATAACTCATAGTATTATACTTAACAATGCAATTTTTATTAAAAATAAATAAATGTATAAAGATAGATTAGAGATTTATAAATTAAATTATATTGCAGTAACAATTACTTTGTTCTAAAATTTTTTTATATACTACTTTTGTATATTAATACGAAATATTAGTGTGTCTAACATTTGGAAACATTGAATTTATATAAAAAGTATTCAAAATAATTTAAACTTATTGAGAAAGTTTTAAGTTACCTAATTTGAAAGAATATGTCCTACAGGTATAATTTAAACCATATTATTGTGTGTAAAATTGTTTTCCCTTGTAAACAAATAACACATTCCCAAATTACATTAAAAAATTCAAATGTTGTAATTTTAAAAAAATAAACCGTTATCATCATAGTAGTTATATTGCCACAACTTATCATATGCCCTGACTAATAGAGGGATTTAATTCACCCATCCCTGTATTTCATCCGACCGAGGAGTTTCACAAGTTTTTAAAATGCTATTTGTTTTTCGCGTATAGTTAGAATTAATATATTAAAAAGCATAAAATATATGCTCCGTATAACACATCATCGATTATATGTAAAAATTTTGCAACAGATGACGTTATTTATCACTTTATCGTCGCCTCAGTTAAGACAGCAATAACTCAAAAATATTCTGAATTGAGTTATTTATGTAATATTATTTGCAAAATTACGACGATTTCGATTCTATAACGCAATAACTTTAAATTGCATTAATCACTTCTAGAGGTCGTTTATTTCATTTTAGAATCAGTAGTTTCATAATTTGAGTTATTGCAATCTTGATCTGAGGCGTCGATATGTTGCGGATATTTGGGTATAGTTATTGATTAGAAAAGTATGAAGCTTTTATTTATTTATTTATTTTAATTATATATATGTGTGTGTTCCAAAATACATTTGAATAACTAACGAAAAATACTCTATAAACTATAATATGCGATTTAAAACATCGTTAGACAGATAAATTTTTTTTAATAGTTTGGACCTTACTTAAATGACAAAAATATATAGATTCTATTGGCTTTTGTTATACAAACTGAATGTACATTGTACGAGTAAGAAAAAGTGAAAGGGTATAAGCATAGGTGGCATTTGGGGGGGAACCAAGGGACAGTTTCCCCTTCAGAAAAAATATTGAGGAGGCAACTTATCATTTTGCCTCTCTCCTAAGTTAAATATTATTTAAACAATTTTTATTTTTTATAAAATATTTATTTTAAAATTACGTTTGTACAGTTATATAAAAAAATGATTCCCCATATTAAGTTGGATCAATATTATCAATATTATCAATATCACCATAAATTAATAAGAAACTAATGCATTAATGTACATGTAGGTACCTACATTGATTAAATATACAATATAGTATAATTAATCAATACTCAAATCAATACTTTTAAAACATAACATACCATATTAAATTGATATTAATTGATATACTTATCGTCTTATCAGTTATCATACACATAGTAAGTAAGTAAAAATGTAGGTGTAAAAATGTATAGTATACTCGTATGCATAAATTGAATGTGAATAGATTTTTAAATTGGTCAATAAATTATGATTAATCTCCCCCCCCCCCCCCCCCCCCCGGTAATAAGAGCTAAGTGCCACCTATGGGTATAAGTTTTTCGATCTTATAATTAATGTATATAATATAATTAATATATGATTACGATATCTAGTTTATAATTACATGATACAGCAGAATATCTGCAGGAACTCGTTTAAGATCAATAATCCGTATTTTTAACTTAACAACTTCCATAGTGTTTTTCTGCCTGCATACAGTAAGCGGATCATAAATCATAATTAATAATAATATTGAGAAATACTTAAATATATGATAATCATATTAATAAATAACAATGATCAATAGAATTTACAGTGTAAATTGTTATTTATATATAAATAAAACTTTAAACTTTAACTTAAACTTTAATTTAAACTTAAATTGTAAACTTTGTCTACCCGTATCGGCCAACTTTTGATTATACACATGTATATAATATACTTACTTTATGAATAAAATATGAGATATTTTACAATTAAAATAATATACGTTTATACAGAAAAAAATAAAAATAAATACTTAAAACAAATACTTAGAAGTCTATGACGCGTTAACACATATAATATAAAAAAAAATATAAATAAAAAAAATCATACTTGCAGCCAAGCCGAAAACTAATTCGTAGTAAAACCAACAAATATGGAAATTTAAAATATAAAAATAATGAGAATATATGATATTATTTTTGATAGTCGAAAATGTTCACCAATCCTGTATTGGCTTTAAACGTGAAGGTATATTATTATTATTATTATTATGATTATGTCTCAACAAGTGTAAGCTGTTGGACAATATTCAATAAAACTACGTAAGGATAAATACTAATTCGAAGATCATTGTTATGTATTGAGATCATAGATACCGAGGTATCTACAAAATATATTACGAATCAATCTTAGTGATTTTAATATTGATACGTCTTGATTTCAAAACGATTTCATCGCATGATTTACAAAATGAATCAAGATCAAATAATATTTTCACACAAAAATATGTTTATTTGAAATAGTTTTTCGAAATCAATCGAATTCAGTATCAAAATAATAGTATCTGCACCCCTTAGTATATCTCGTTTATACTTTTACCTTGTTTAATAGTAAACACTAGTAGTTAAAGATCATAATTTACTATAAATAATAAATGAATTAAGAATAAAAGGTAGTAGGTAAGCAAGTAGATAATAGGGTACATACAAAGTAAACAAGTACAAACGGCGTTTTAACAAACGAATCTAATACCAGTTCTTGTTTAATAAATCGATAACCAATTAAAAATATAGTTAGGTTCTAATCAAGTATTCTGTTTTCTCGTCTACAGCACCAAAGTGTTTAGTTGACAGCTCCCAATGAACTCTCCGCCAGGGCGATGGTACACGGACCCTTGGTCTCCGGTGGTTGATTCAGTTTTTTGTTCCGGAGCTTGTATCTCTTCGATGGTCATCGGAGGTTGAACGTTTGATTCCTGCTCTCGTCTGAACGGCCATACCAACGGGTAGATGTACTCAACAGCCCGTCGAATTAACGCCTCGCTTTGAGCTACCAAACGATCCAATCGATAAATATATTTTATAACAGTTTTCTTGAATTTCTCAAATGGTTATTCTTACCGTGAACAGATATTTTACCAGAAGAAAATATTTGCAACGTCGCTTTGAATTCTTTTGTTCTGTACATCACTCCTGGATTTAACTCGGGTTCATATCTATAAACATGAAATAATTAAACATTACTCAAAACAAGTAATTGAGGATATTTTTAGAAAAACGTACACCGAACAGCTTTTCAACAAAAACATCGTACTTTTTCTGTACCTAGTGTGGGTTTTTAATATTTTCGCCAGAACAGTACAATCCATGTAATTGGTGGTCAAAGTATCAATAAACAAGTAGAAGATGTTAGTTAGCATTTCGTAAACACTGTTTTCTCAAAACTATTTGTATATTTGAAAAATATATTTATTATATCAAAGTTGAAATCAAAGTAAAATCTATTGTATTACTATTGTTTTCATTAAATCTAATTATTATATGTATTATAATTAAAAATTAAGATTCATCGGTAATCGTCTAGTTTTAAAAAATAAAAACAAAGAATGAAAATGTAAAATACTAACTTAAAAAAGTAGATTGACATTATTTTGTAAATTATATTTACTCCAAATTTAATATTAATTTTCTGTTCTTATACCTAACTTGATTAATCAAAAACTTATAAAAATACAATCGTTTGTTCTATGGATTATAAACATATTTTATTTGTATAAAAAATAATATTAATAATAATAAGAAGAAGAACATGAAACAATCTTAATTAGATTTATGTACAACATATTCATGATACTGGCCTTGTGTAGTACAAAGCAATTTAGAACGAAATCATTTTAATATTATTTTTTATTAGTGCCTATGTGTGCATGTTGTTAAATTAGCGTGAACAGTGTCCTTTAATAAATAAATAAAAATGTGTATATTTTTATGAAATATATAAAATTAAAATTAAACATTTTTTTTGAATATCATAACTATGCACAGCCTACTTTTATTATTTATTTCAACAGCATGTTACTTATTATAAAGTTTAAGTATTTTAAAGGGTGCAATATATTAATTGTTGAAATGTACGATTAATACTACTTATAAGTATAGAAACATTGTAAGCTCACACGTGCATGTATAATATATTATACGTGTATCTTACTATTGTCAATATTTATAATATTACTCCGTTACTTTCAACTTCTACAAGGATATAAATAATAGTCTATGACGTCAGTGGCACCACTATATGTGTACATAATAAAGCCTTTTCATTCGATATGATTACCCTCTTACAGAACATCAAACTGTACATGCATAGTCCCTGATGGTGTTCAGTTGTATTTTATACTGTCACTTATATTATAGTTACGTATAGGTATATTGTTATAATCATTAAGCGTCACGATTATTACTAAAACCCTAAAAATCCAAAGTTCGTTTCGACTTCACTTTCAACAATAATAATGTAGTGTTAAATTTTTATGTAAAATATTATTTCAAACAATTTATTTTAAGAATTTAAGTAACTTAATACATTTTCCGTTTAAATACTTGGCAATTTAACGTGAGGGACAAGCGCAAAACAATATTACATTATTATGTTTTCTCGAAGAGATCAAAACGATATTTTATAAATATAAAATACTTAGGTATAGTTCTTACGCATATCAACATGAATGTTAATTGTATTTCCTGAACGTCCAATTTTTAAAAGTAGGTGACGAGTGAATTGAAAAAACATATTTATTTTGTTGTTTTAAGTATCTGATGACAAACTTAAGTACGTTCTCAAATTATTATTCATAATAATGTATTTCGACCACTTATTCTCTCATGTCAACTATAAATCACTCATATTTATTATAAACCATTTTGATTCTAAAGGTAAAATTGCACTTTTTTTTTTTTCAAACGTAATATTAGTTAAATATGTACGACTTAGTTATCACCTAATTAATAATTGTTTATTTATCTTTATTAATTTTATTTTATATTTAGAATTTTGTTGGTATTGAATGTCCTTTAATGTTTTGCGATTATAATTAGGTTTAAATTACAAGAGCTTATCTAGTCACCTACTCAACTATTCTAATATATAAAATGATGAAAGATTAGTATCAATTTCACTATCGGTACTGCGATAAAATTATTACTACAGAACAATGCGCTGGCTTATAACTTTGAAATCATTGTGTACATAATTTAGAATATACTATAGTCGATATAGTCGACTATAGTCCAATAAATAAAATGAAAAATAAAAATTGTTGTTTTACATTTGTCGTTAGATACAATCAATCGGATTCTAAAATTATATTTATTCGATCACTTTATTGTTTGCTTGATTTCAAACAATTTTCATACCTCACTCATATTCATGTGTGTGAGGTGTTTTGAAGAGCATGCGTATCCATATGTAATATAAAATAAGAAAAAATACGTTTGTACGTAATGGCAAGTTCATAGATACACCATATAACTATAAGCAGTGGTGTTCCCATAGGGTAGTATACTATATATACGTCATATACTGTCAACATAATTTTAAAAATGCATGGTTATACTAAGTATACTCTCAAGACTGAAGAACTTTGCGAAGAAGCATTAAATATAATTAGTTTTATAGGTTTTAATATTGTACTTATTTTGTAATAAACATTCAGTTATCCCTCAAACGATTAGTGTATTACTATGAAGTAATTATTGACGGTATACAATGGTACCAGTTAATTAATTAATTTAAATTTATATTTCTGTAAAAAATAAAAATGTATGCATTACAACTTATGTTAATATTTATATCCAGGGCTCATCATTTTAGCTCTAAAAAAGGTTGTTATAAAACGCTATAATATGTTTTTGATTATCGATAAATTATTAATGATTATTTATGATTACAAATAATGATTTTCTAGGTACTGTTTAGGTAGAAGGTATCAATTACCATAACTATCATAGTCTATAGATATGATTTTATGGCGAAAATTATCTATGAATAATAATGATTATAATTATAATTTTGCCTAAATATATAATAAATATGTATATATTAAGTTAAAACCAATTAATTATCAATTTTATCAATTTCTAAAATTAAATAGAATTTGACTGAATTTGGACGATTTGGTAAACTTATCATGGCAATATTGTACATACCATTACTATGCAGAAACGCAGAATGTATATTTGTATTAAATAGGCGTTATATGTTAATATTATTAAAAATTTGGCAAAACTTAAAGAAAGGAAAAAATCGTTTAATTATTTTATTATTATCTATTATAATAATTAATAAGTTGTCCTTATGAATAATTGTAATACTTACTCTAAATGATTTTATTAATATATTTTATGTAACTCATAATTATATGTTACTTTATGAATACTTAGATTTTTTATAATTTTTAGTATAGTTTTGAGAAAAAAGTCATTTTTCTATAATTAAAGCAAAACAATGAAATCTATCGATTTTAAAATATCATCAAAACAAAATAAATATATCTCAATAATTAACATTACAGTAATAATAATAATAATAATAATTAATAAGTATTAAACCGAGTTTAGGAATGAGGTAAATTATACGTTAACATTTTTAGCAAATTTTACAAAAAAAATTGGAAGAAGAGGGAGCGGCAAATGTTGTTGACTTAAAGCGTTATTGATAGTTAGGGCGACATTACTACTGTGTCAGACATTTACAATTTAAAAGTGTGTGTGCTGCAGAGGGTTATGTTATATAAGGATGCAATATTCTGTTTCTTTTATTTTTATATTATATGGGAGACAGGTGGTGTCCTCGTGTGAATCTTAGCAGCTGTTTATCATTTATTAATGTTGAAATACTATAAGACGTAGGAACATATTGACGCGTGAGTAAATTATACAGTTTTAGTAACCTATTTAACGAAAGGACGAAGAGTAAATTTAACTAGAATTTTTCGCTCGTCACATAAAATAATCATAACAAATACTTGTGATATAATTAAGAAATATTTAATTATTATTTAATTGTAACTATGGGGGACGTTTAAAAAATATGTTGAACATTAAGCATATATGAAATTAATTATTAGTACTTACTCAGTACACTGATCGACTAATTAATTTTAGAAGATATCATTTTTTTTTTTTATAGAATATTATTATTTTCGTTATTATGCATAAAAGTTTTACATTTTATATATTTTATATTTTTTTGTTGGTGTACAGTATTTAAACAAAACTGTATGGTTAATTTACAAATTTTATTCGTACACCGTTTAATCACACGCGCTTCTTTGATTTTAATCGATTTTTGGTGTTTGGTTTACACTATCTGTTTTGAATTTAGTCTCTTAATTTTTAACACCGAACACGGAACAAAAAATCAAACTACTCAGTTTATATAAATTTTAGCGATTTTTAATTCAATAACTTCTGAGCCCTAGTATAAAATGTGATTTATAATAAAAACAAAATTTGAAAAAATGATAAAAATAAAACAATAGAACGTAATAATGGCATGATTTTTCTAAAAAAAGTATGGTTTTTGAATAAATGAAGTAAAACGTATTAAAATCGGAAAAAAATCTCCACAAGATTATTGGTCAGTACAACGGAATTATGCGATAAAAGTTCAAGGGGTAATGAAAAAGTTATACTTCCTATGACAGATTATTCTGTTATTATATTTTACGTACACGACGAATAACTCTACAATGTTTTACTTAACACCCACTTATTTCTATTAGACACAGGGGTAGAAGCAGAATAATTTATGAACTGAAAAATAAATATAAAAATATTACTCAATCTAATGTCAAAATTGTTTTAAATTAATGTGAATCTTGTCCTATAGTTTTTTCTAAATTAAATAATTGATGTAAATTAGATCTTATTGATTATCAAAGTCAAGCTGATGGTAAATATAAATTTGTGTTAGTGTATCATTATGAACACTTGACAACATTTTGTATTTTAAAACCATTAATATCTAAAAGGGCTGAAGAAGTTACGTATCGGCTTTTAGATATTTTTACTCTCTTCAATGCTTCAAGTGTACTACAAATTGACAATCACAGCTACAACCAATCCCAAGGATTAGTGGTGAAGCAAATAAGGATATAAAAATATGATAATCACCCGGATAAAGAAAATAATACAACAAAATATTGTAAAGGGGTTAAAAAAAATTTATTATGAAGCTATTATTATGTTTTTTACTATTCACTTAAAGTTGGAATTTCTTCAAATACAATTATGCATAAATAAAAAAAAACATTTTCAATGAAAGAGGAGCAAAATAATGCTTATAGCGTCTAGCAAAACCACAATCAGATACATCTTATTACTGTTAGTATAAGAAATAACTAGTTGAAGTATGTATTTTTGGATTCGTTCAAAGGAAGCGCTATTAAGGGCCATTAAGTGGAATTTTATATATTAACACTTACAACTAAATATATATATATATATATATATATATATAATATGTATCTTTATATTAATCTTAGTATAATAAGTAAAATAATAAGTTTTCTAGTTATTATATATATATAAACGTTTTATACACTTTGTATAAAGAGCTCAGCCTGTCAAAAATTAATAAATAAATAATATATGTGTGTGTGTGTAAATATATCAGCGAAAAATAATATTAACTCACTCTGTATTCGCTTTGTATTTCTCAGCGAACGATATGATTCTGATAGGAAATGGTAATGTGCACGTAGCCAGTATATTGGTCACTTTGTAACTGCAAAATTTTACTTCAGGATAACCCAACTTTTGAATGATTCTAGCAACACGCCTTGATGCAATTCTTGCTTCATGCTCGGATGAACAACCTACGCAAATCACTTTTCCCTTTGACCAAATATTTGCTGTGGTTTTCGGCTTTCGCAACTTCATTATAAGCTTCTAATTATTAATATACAATGAAAAAAATGTTATGTGTAAACATGGTAAAAATGTTTTATCTAGTGACAAGTGCATGTATTAGATTTATATTACCCCTTGTTCTCGTTTATATTCTGTATTATAACCACGGCGAGCCAAATTCCTGAGATCTAAATGTGTTTTCGTTTTAAAATTTGAAGTAACGTTGTTAATCACAATGTGCACATTATCAGTTGTGTTTAAACCGACTTGTATTGATTCATTAGACATTGTGTTTTCCTCTTGTATTCGCAGGTCATGGTTATAATAGATCATATTTGCGTTCAACACCGATTCATTCATATTTGATTCTAAATCCAAGTGGCGATCAGTGGTCGATATATGATTGAGTCTGTAATATTGGATAATTATTGTCATGAATTATTATCAATTAACTAGAAAAACGGTTATAATATTATAATGATTATGCATAATCCTAAACCATAGTTTACAGGTAAACATTTATTTGAAAAATATTCTTTTCTCTCGCTGAGTGAGTCTCAAATATTAACTATTAACAACTTAAAAATAAATAAATAAGTAAATACAATTGAAAAAAGTAGTAAAATTATACATAGTTAAGCCCAAAAAGCCATTCACTCAATTTTGATGATTTTTTTTTTCATATCAAATATACGAATTGAATATTTTTACCTTACAAAATTATTATTTTTTATTATTTTAAACATTTAAATAATAAAACTTTTGATTTATTTAATGAGCAATAATAATAATTTTTTTGTTGTATACTGAAAATGGTAACTTGTATTTTTTTTGCGATAAGTATTGACTACTCTTTGGAATAAATTATAAGCTGTTTTGTAAAAAAAAAAAAAAATATATAATTTAATTAAATATTTGTATAACACTAATTTATTAAGTTATATTTAAACTTAATATTAATTTTATAATCAAATTGAACTAATAAATCTTTTCAATCGTTTCGCAACGAATTGTATTTTGTACATCAATTACATGTTGACGCGACACGATTTGCTGCGAGCACTAAACATTTTTAATAATATTAAGGCGACCCGCAGTAATCACGCTACTGAACATACGTGTATTCAGGGAGGGGGAGGAAGGTTAACTAAGAAAAAATACAGTAAAAATCTTGATTCCCCGAGCGAGCACGGTCGTCCGTGTTGTTCTCGTTCGGTCGGGGATCAAGAGTTGTAGGTAGTATTTTTGTTAGAGGCCACCCTCTCACTATTGAAAACACGATAATGGGACGGCGGGCTGGGTGGGAAGAGTTCGAAAATGTTTTAGAAATTCCTTGTGTTACAGAGAGAGAGAGAGAGAGAGAGAGAGAGATAGAAAGAGACAGACAGAAAACGTCGTCGTCGAACAGATGAGTACATACATTTAATAAAACCGTATACGTACACCGTGTGAATAACTCGCGCGACCGGCGTGCTGTCGAAGAGACGGGATCGGTAAGCCGCCGCGGGAAAAATAAAAAATAAAAACTCCGAATCAGGGAAAGGACAGTGCACGAGCGAAAAAACTTCGTTTACGGTAACGCGGACGGCGGCGAACGGGGACGCTCGAACGGGATACGACCGAACACTCGTGGTGGTCCGTGACAACTGACCGGCGACGTCGAGTGTGCCGCGTGACAAACGCGCGGAGTGTGTACCACCGCAACGGCACGAATTCCGTATGTTGTTGTTGTTATTTTTTTTTTTTTTTTTACTTAGCTTCGCGCCACTACCGTCGCGCTGGATTACTAGTGTTTATTTATTACCGTTGTCCAGAAAACGGTTCTCACATACGTCGTCCTTCGACGCGAGTATGAATTCTGTAGGAATAACGTGAGCTGTGCGAACCACCAGCAATGCCGGATCTAGGAAATCCGACACCCCGGGGCTAGTGAAAACTCAGCGCCCTCGCGTAGGCGAAATTCACGGGGCATGTCCATGACTTTTTTTATTTTTCGTAAACTTAAGAGCGCCCCTATGCCGACAGCGCCCTGGTATTCTTAAAAACAAAAAAGAGTCTACGGTATCACTTTTGAGTTGTGTTTTCCTTTCTTTGATAACTTTTCCTGACGTGCTGAAACACTTATCGCTTGCAATGCTACTAGCAGGAACCGCTAAAATTGTTAAGACAAGTTAGGCCATTAGAGGAAATTAATCACTGTTTTCCTTCCACCATTGTAATATATCTTGATTTTGATTATATGGTACTATTTGATAAACGTTCAGTTTATTGTTGAAATCATTATAAGGCTCTTTTATCATCCTTCTACTCCCAGAAAATATCATTCTGACCTGATTGAATTTTTTCTTCAAGTGGTACACTTGAAGACTGACTTCAGTAAGAAATGAGGTTGGATTGTAATTTTGATAACACTACTTTAACTGGTTCAATAATACCTTGTCTTTCATCAATATTTTCGACTATCCTCAGCTTTTTAAATGGCGGGCACAAAAATTAAAAGTAAATGTTAGTTTTATATTTTTCTTTAAAAATAATTAGATTTTGATTTGCTAAATGTTTAAATATATCATCATATTTTTCCTCGGAAACTATACTATTATGATGTTTTAATAGCTAGCCAGGTGAAGTAACATAAATTGTATACCTAATCGGATTTATTATACTTTCAAACTGACCAGATGCTTTAAATTAAGCTAAAAAAAAGATTAATTTGGATAGCAAAGATATATTATAATACGAATAAAGTTATGTTTATCATTAATGACTATATAGTACTGACAATGACTACTATCAGTGAGAAAATAGTGGGATAAAAATTAAAAAATTATTTTTAAAATTTAGTTAATTTTTTGTAAATACTGATCACACTGTGTTACCTATTAAATTATATAATATTAATTTTGAACGATTTTTCCAAAGAAAAATACTATAATACTAATGATCCCACCCATGACCAACCCGAATTATTTATATCATAGCACGGCTAGTAGGTAGTAGTAGTACGACGGTACGGGTCGGGTCGGACTGGCCCCCCACTCCCTGCAGACCTCTAATACGTACGTGTTCACATGTGGACCATGGTTCTACGTAGGGTGTTGTGAGGGGGGTAAGTAACGAGAGAAGAGAAAAAAATACAAAACATATGTTGCTGTCGGGCCGCGATGGGAATGGTCCCACGTCTATCGGAAGGGTACACGATGCGGTGTAAAATACAGTTATTTTATATAATGTCTAGTCATTTTATCGAATACCTTAAAATTTCAGGCAAAGTATAATCTAATATAAAATAGTAATCTTTGGTATTTGTATATACATTGACTAATTATTTTATAAAATGACTAGACATTTTTTACATTCAAAAAGTGATTTTAGGCAATGTAATAATAATTAATAATTTTTTTTGTACAATGTATAAAAATTTCATAAAATTCAATAATTAAATAAGTAAAATTTAAATTAAATTGAACATTTAAATTTTTTTATCAATATAAGAGAACGGTATTATTTTTTATCATAAAACATTAATTACTTGTACAACAAGATAAACTTGAATGACATTTTAAGTTACACAAAACATTATTTTTTAAACACGTACATTTTTATTTTGGCCTTTTGTTGAGCACGAACACTTAATAAATCCCTGTCCAATTCCTGTTGACGGCTTAGTCGCAATTGATCGTTCTGACCATATGATTTTTACATTTGAAACTATCTAATTAGCAAACTCGTGGCTATTATCAGATAGTAATACTCGTATTGAAGCTGCTCTCAATAGTGTGAAAATGTCAAAGAAATTATGTGCCACTTAATTAACACGTTTACATTTTAAATGCTTTAATACTATAAACTTAGTCAGATGATCCTGGTAAACCATAATGAACTTGTATTTACCGTCTTTATTTGTTTGAAAATCAATCAAATCTACTTGGCAACGCGAATTGAATTCAGTAAAAATAAGAGGCTTGAAAACAATTCTTTTCTTAATACATTTTTGCTTTTTTTGGCATAGCTCCCATAATTGTAAAAACAATTTAATTTCAGTACGAGTTATATTTTTATATTTTATGGAAAGTTCCTTAACCATTCGATCGCGCCCACCATGACCAATTAAAACAACGAGTATTATGAAGAATTTCATATAGTTCATTATCAAAAACATAATATAACACTTTGTTTTCAGTAGTTATTACCTAAAACGTGTTTGTCATTTTATATAATGTCTTGTAATGTAAATGAAATTTACACATTGCCTTTTTTCGGCATTTTATTAAATTTCTAATCATAATATACAGTACAGTATTTAGACATTTTGCGTCCCGGCGCAAAAAAAAAAAAAAAAAAATTGCCACCCCTCTAAGGAGGACTGTCCATGGAAAATATAGGAGATAGATCCTCATGAACCTTTTAGATATTCTAAAATCAATGCTATTTTTGTGTAGTAGGTATGCCACTGTATACCGCACGTGATAACATAATATGCCGTATTATTATGAATAACTTATGTTTATTGACATTATCACAACAAATTTGAGAATTAATATTAGGTATATTAATAATATTCTGGATCGCTGATAGCTATATTACTATATATTAATAAATTAAATACATAAACATTAATTTATGATACTGTTAAAAACAAAAAAAATAATAATTTCAAAATAATTTTAAAAGTTCAATAATTCGCAAGTGAGCGAATTTCCGACTACAAAATTTCGGCACCCCCAAAAAACTGACGCCCGTATACAAAGATTAAGAATAAGTTTCAAAATCAACTGAACGCGGCTCCGGACTTACGAATCCAACATTTAGGAATAACTCCAGATTTAAAAACAGTTATGAAAAAAACTATGAAAATATTCCAATCTTCTCATTGAATCTATCTTAGAGGTAATGAGAGACAAATATTAAATTTTAAGCTTTAATATGACATTTTATTGTATATGACATAATATTGTAATAGTAATAAACAAATTAAAAGGTTAAATCCGTCATTTTTTTTATATTAATGACACTCTTGTGCCGGAAGTGTCCGATAACCCACTCATTTGAGTGTACCAAACATTTGCTTGTATTAAAAGTATAGAAAAAATATTAGGATTCTACAAAACGTTCAAGCTCCTGCAAAGTTTCGGCGAGTAAAAGATGTTGGAAAACACTGATCCATCATATAATACATACCTACATAACGAAAATTTTACAACACTTTTTTTTTCAATTTACAAAATGTATAAAAATCATTTATTTTTAAAAATATTATTATACATGAAAAACCGTGGTTAAAGTGAGAAAAATGTTGTGGGAGGACTGTATTGATCAAAAATTGAGGAGCGTTCTCCTACCTAATTCTAAATCTTACTAACCTTTTTTAGGAAACCCATGAGGTCTAAGCCTCTTCTGTTACACATATATGTTCATAAAAACTTTATTTTCATAGGGTGTAGAAACAAATTTCCCCCAAAGAAAAATAATTTTATACATATGCCTACTCAGTAAAATAAATTGAAATACATAGTAGGTAATATTTAAAAAAATTAACTTAAACTTAACAAAACTAAAAAGAAACAATTACTAACCTTGCTGGTTATTGGTCAACGTAGACAATAACCAATACGGACATTGCACATAAGGTGTGTACTATCTATAAGATAGTGTCTATCCTCTACCACAATTTAATATTTATATTATTTATATTTATTCTATTCTGTTTATATTTATTCTAAATAATAGTCGATATAACTATCACTTTAATTTTAGAGCTATGGGTAATAACCGCTCGGGAATCATCTATAATTAGACATAGCGTCAGTTAAATTAACATGGTGTACATAATCTTCCATTTTTGCTTATCGTTATACCTACATATTATTTCTTTTTTCCACTTATTCAAATTAATTAAGAAAATAAATTTCATGTAATATTGTAACATTATAATAAGTAGGTATTGTATATTTAATATTGTATTTTAGTGATCAATACCATTAAGCGTCCACCCGGACTTTTGGCGATTTGAAAGAGGACGCATAATCTTACCTTAAATAAGAAAGTGGAATCCATCCTCCTCCATCCACCCACACTTTAACCACTGATTAAAAGTCGATTTATTATTTATCATATCAATTTATGCAATTCTAACTCGAGTACTTCGCGTAGTAAATGAAAATTATAGTTTTTATTAAATAATATCAAATCCAAATAGGCTCGAACAAACATATTATTTTAAGTTTTAAATATCTACTTTAAAACATGATCCTCTACGTGAACATTACGATGTTTCTGATTATATTATATTAAAAAAATAATTAATATTCGATGTGATTCGTAAAAACAATCGGTTATGACGTAATTTAATCACATAAATTGAAATTTTTAACGTTCATAAAAAAAAAACACGATCAATAAAAATGTTTCCAATTCTTAGTATTATGTATGAATGAAGCATTGATAAGTGTAGTCGCTTTGTATTCTGTATTCAAGCCATAAACATAAAATCTTCATTTTAGTATCATAGAAACGTAATTGTATAGCTACGCTTATCAAATGACATTTAATGTTTCTTTCGGATTTTCCTTCAGCTTGCTGAATTCAATTTCAATTTTTGATTAAATGGGATTCAAAAACTTTTAATAGGTGCACA